ATCGGATGACCGTGAGGGCATTTAAACTGGTCCGCCGTTCCATCTATAGCTAGGCACTGTCAGTGTAGCGATAAGTGAACAAAACAGGGGGTCCAGTTTAGAGGGCATTCTGGTGTATTGTTGCCACAGACATTTACCCACGTGACATTCGTTTTTGACTGATAACCGTATAATTACGCAGATATTATCGTGTGCAAAACAACATTCCTTATCGCTTGTTATATATTAATTTTATCAATAAATATTCATGAAAATAATTTTTAAGAACATAGATAAATGAAATGAAAATGTTTTGTCGTGAGACATATATATATATATATCAATAACAAATCAAAAATACCGAAAATTTGTGTTAACGCATGCAGAAGAATATCTCAAGAACGTTTTGTAACAAACGCGGGAAAATATGAATGCCTACTCAAATCCAATCTATTAGAAAAAACGAATTATTGTAGAAGAGTGTCCACCATGCACTTGCACTGCACTATCATTAGAAGAGTAGAATAGAATGATATACAAATGGATGAACATTTTATATAACTATTATACAAATATAAATATAATATATAACAACAAACCAGAGTATACTGATAACAAATAATTATTAATATACTATATAATAAAATATTAATTTTCGCGAACCATTTAGGTCACAGAAATTCCAAAAAATGGCATCAGTAAGGAGAGTTGTACAAATGATGTGAATACACAGAACCCAGATCCAAATTATCTTTTACTAAAAGTATTCATCATTTTCTGTTTTGTATGTACTAACAACATTTCATTTTTCTACAATTTCGATTAAAATATTATAAAACCTGCAGTTCAATAGGTCACATGCCCCAAATAAACATTCCCCGATTGGTCGAACTACTGTGGCCTCGGTGTAAAGCAACGCAAGCCTCGATGTAAAGATCACGCTTCCAAAAATAGAGGTATGTCCCAACTTAACATTCCCCGATTGGTTGAATTGCTGCTCGATGTAAAGCAACGGAAGCCTTGATGCAATGAAGAAAAGGGATTGACAGGATAAACGTAATCGTTATAAATTTTAACTTCATGGTTCTTATGCAAGCAAATTTAATAGACAATGATTTTATACAGTTGTGTTATTGTTTTCACCTTACATAGGGCTTTATTTCTGATCTTATTTCTGTGTACACAATTCTGAATCTACATATTTCACCTATATCAATATTAGGTAATCCGTTTGGACGATTCCATATACTATTATGTTTTAGGGTTTTTTAGCTTCAGTGTCGAGTTGGTGTATAGTATTGAGGGCTATCTGCGAGAAATAAATCTTTTTTTCTGATAGATTAACTAAATTCAAAACCAATATAAAAATAGTTAACACATATATTTTATTTAACTGAGTAAATTGATCGGAATGTGAATGATACATAAACCTAAAATTCGTTTTGGTCTATCCCAGTGATGACATTTGCGCGGGAATTTAGTCCATTGACATCGAAATATAATTTACTTTGGATTATAATTATCTTTAGATGTAATGTTACAGGATTTAATGTGAAATCATTTATCTCTTCTTTTATAGTACACGAGTTTGGAGTTTGACGTCAGGTTTGTACACATGAAGTCTCTAGTCTAAAAAAAGCCAGTGACAGAACGATAAACAGATATTGAGATAAGCGACTGTCTAGGGCCAAGTAAGGGAGGTGAAAAAGCCAGTATTACGCAGAACGATAAACAGTTACATAGACGGATCCAGGGGGTGGGGAAAATTTGGTTGATTTTATAGGGAAGCAGGGGCGGATCCAGCCATTTTATAAAAGGGGGGTTCCCAACTCAGGACAAAGGGTGGGTGGGGGGTGTGTTCCAACTATGTGTCCCCATTCAAATGCATTGATCGTCCAAAAAAGGGGGGTTCCAACCCTCGAAACCTCCCCCGGATCCGCCACTGGGGAAGCATGACGGGAGTGGGCAACCCTTAGGTCAGTCAGCGGCCACCCCCCTTTTATGAAAAGTTGTGGATCCGCCACTGAGATTTATATAAGCAGGTTTTCTTTGTGTAGATACCTTAAAATATCACCAACTGTGACTGAGTACACAATTTGATTCATTTTAGCTCATTAGCTGGGCTCACTCGCTAAAAAGGTTCATTGCGGGCATGCTCACTGGCTAACATTTTACGATATTCATGACTCATGTAGAAAAGCCGATAATCTATACATGTGTGTGAGGAGTAGTTATCAAGATTCCTTTCGTCTGTAAAAACTGTCTTAGGCCAAGTTAGGGAGGTGAAAAAGCCAGTAATAGAACGATAAACAGATGATCAGGTTTTCTTCATATAGATCCCTTTAAATATCCCCCACTGAGGACACAATTTGATTCATTTTAGCTCATTAGCTGCGCTCACTCGCCATAATAGGTTCATTGCGGCTTACTGGCTAATATGTGTAGAAAAGCTGATAACCTATACATACATGTACATGTATATGGTCAGATCATATGTTTTCGTACGTCATATGAATTTGTACTATGCATGCCTTTTCAACGGAAATTGTGACGACAGTATGCATTCTTAATAGCACGAAAAATGATGAGAAGAGGATACATATGTCAACCAAAATTTTTCAGCAACGTCAAAATATGTGAGGACACCCTATCAAGATCTATCAAGCTTGTGTTCATGTTGCGTTAAAACTGTTTTAGGAAGGTGAAAAATACCAACAACATAACAATAAATAGATAATCGATATTGTAAAATATCAATGTGTTGAAAAGCCAATGATCTACATATATACTTAAATATGTCCACCATAAAATAAAACTGATTTAATTTACACCACAACAGTTGAAAAAACCTTTATGTTTATATAACTTATCTCATTCTAGTCCATTCAACTGACAGAATAGGTGTACATTTCATGAACTCTTTAATAACAAGAATCATCATGGACTATTTATAGCAATATCTGTTAGCCATTTAGGGGTCTTTTGCATTCAAAGTTTAGTTTTAGTGGGTTTATTTTGCGAAAAAGAACTTAATTTCCAGATCAAAGTTAACATTTTCTATATATTTTGCTGTGTCAAAATGACCTAATAAATATGAAGGACAGTACCCATATAGACCCAAAAATGGTATATCACATTCTACACATGACATTTTAGCAGGAAAGACTGCCATTGGAGTATATAACTTTTAACCTGTGTATATATAATTAAAATACGATAATAAAATTCATGTCTTTTTCAGGACCTCTGATCCAACCATGTAGTATGGCATGTTTGTGAGATATGGTTTTGGTGGATAGGATGTTCATGAAGGACCTGTAGTACAAAGTATATCACTGGATTGAGCTCTTTGGCTAAGTGTATTATTAAAGTGCTTTGCTTTGAGCTCAGTTCATTGTTATGCAATTCATTCTTTGTGAAATAAAGATTTGACAGACAACTCTCATGTACAAGGATTTGTCAGGGTAGTATCCATTCTATGTACAATGTAAGTAATAAGGAGATAAAAGCATTTTATTATGATTTGAACCAAACATTTTTTGTCCATTAACCAAATTTAAAAAAAAGAACAAATTTACCGGACAATGCTACACTCGCTACTAGCAATATGATGCTAGGTTGTTTTAATACATCTGTACTGCCTACTGATGACTTGGTCCTGAGTGTAAATGGTCATTCAGTATGTTAAAAAAAAAGGGCAAAATTTATAAGGCCTATCTGGCCTAATTGATTTCTAAAACTATATTTCATTGTACATGTTCAACATTTATCATTCATTTGTTTATTTCTTAATTTGTGTGAATTAACATTGTTACAGTAAATGTTAATTACTACACTTTCATACCACAACAAATACTGTATTGGTATCACTTATATTTGTATCCATATAACAAAAAAAATTGAAAAGAGAATAATTTTGCAATACCTTTTTCATATTGAATACTATAACTTTTTTGATATTTAGATATATTAAGTAGATTTTCATAATACCCACTTGACATGCTTGAAATTCTATCAGATTACTTTTGGAGCAGTTATGAGTCTTTGAAGCATGCTCACAAAGGTTTTTTTGTTGATATCATTTTCATATTGGTCAAAACTTTTTTTTGCTTCGGCCAGCTTTGGAGGAGATGTTATCAAAGAATTGATAAAAAACAACACAGAAGTTTACTTTCTAGCTCTTCTAGCCCCAAGCATCATGTCAGGCATGGTCATTACTAAAAACCAATAAAAGTCTTCTAATCTGAGAAACAATTTCGACATTTTAACAAAATATTTTACTAATGATACTTGCAATCCAGTGAGCAAATACATATAAAAAAGATGTGGTATGATTGCCAATGAGACAATTCTCCACAACAGACCAAAATGACACAGAAATTAACAACTACGGGTCACCGTACAGCCTTCAACAATGAGCAAAGCCCATAACACATAGTCATTTATGTTATTTATGTACACAGAATAAACAAAAAACAAATATTATGTAACACATAGACAAACGACAACCACTGAATTACAGCCACCTGATATCATGTTCTCAGATATCATCTCCCATTTAAAAAAAAATCACATGAAAAAATGAACCTATTATGTGTTGCTCTCCTAGATACAAAATGTATCCAAAATCAAAGATGTGGAAAATATTCTATCATAATCATTTGGTAATTAATGCAATTAGTGTCTCTTCCATGTCCGTCTTGAACATAAAATCTAAATATTAAATAAACAACACTCCTCATGCTCAGGTTGGTTGTCATCGTTCAACACAGTTAATAACAACATATAGGAAAAACATAGAACTCCTTTTGTCATATCAAACATCCAAACATACTATCCACATTCATCTGTGTCCACACTTGTATCACTACAATATAATAGTTATTACGGTGAGGTTGAATTCCCTGTCGTTTATTCATCATTCACACAAAAACTTGTCTCAGAAAAAATATATCTATCTACCTTAACCTAACTTTCAGGTATAGAGATGTGATTTTTTTCTGAGACAAGTGCTTGTGACCATCCACCATCCACCAGAACTTGCGGTCATCCGATGTTCAGTACTTTAATTAATCGTAGCCAGTGCCATATTGTAATTATGATAATTTTGTCATGAGTTTTTATTCGGGGGTTACTGAGAATGAGATGGTGATGGCAATAACTGTAAAATTGAGTATTTGGAGTAATAAACAAAGGTATGTTTCGTCTATTCAAATATCTGTTTATCGTTTTAATGTCTCGTTCAGCAGGAACTGCTTTTTGTTGCTTATCTTCTGTAATTGGAAATGCTTCCTTCACTTTGAAATTTAACATTTTCAAGACTATTATCGGTTCAAAAAGTATTTAAGGCAGACATTTCATACTGTTGCAATTTCATCCATGTTTTTCGGGTAAAAGCAGACTAAGGAGTCATGCCCACGGTCATCATTTTGATTTGTTTTCATTTTTCAATCTTAAATTTCTGATGAGACATATTACGAAGAGGTACTTCCGAACGACAGTTTGTCTGCCGTTTCAGGCAGAATATGGGTAATGCTTTATTTACGTTATGTATTTATTTATATTTTGAACACTTAAGTTGCAAAGATGGCGACAAAGTTATGCTTTTTAAGATATTGTGTCAGTACAATATCTAGTTTCCAGATTTATTTTACGGGAAACCAATGATTTTTTACTCTATCCAGCAACAGTCATGAATCCTCTTGTGATCTACTCTTTGCTTAAACTTATATCGTAAGACCGTACGTAATATTGCAATATGATTATGGGTAGGGTCGAATCAGCATTATTTTTTTAATTAATGTTTAAATGCTTCTTGGAATTTAGAAATGATGACCATTTTTAATTTCGTCATTGCAACTCTTATGGTTAAAAGTTTTATTACGGAACTTCTGACGTAATATTCCTATATGCAAATGTCCATTTGACTATTTTTGTCGCTTGCTTTCCAGTATAGGGTTAACAGTCCGGATAACAACACAAGTTCAAATTAAAGAAATTCCGAGTTGTATAGAGGATCTCAGTTTGTTGTCTTTTTTATTCTTTTTATCCCATTTTCATAACTCGAAGGGGTTAACAAGATCTAATTAAAAAATAAAATCTTGTTAACGCCCATAGAAGTTTTGTGCACACATCAAATTGATGCGAAAAGAAAAACTTATTCCCGTGTTAAATTGTTGATAACTGAATCGATACCCCCACTCTCCCAGGTGAAAACACAATGTAAGCAGGAATGATCTACATTGAAGCGTCATACTAAGTTTAAGCAGAAACGGAAAACTGGATCAATGCTACGAAATGCTGTTTCTACTGTAATAAATAGGAAGTACAAAACACTACAGTTCGATTGTTGTTCGACAACGTATTAATTACGATTTGAACAGTTGTACGTTTGAATGAGGTTTCCAGCTACTTCGACAGCGAGTCTTTTAGCCTGTGCATTGTAGGACAGAAATCTTGGTTCGATGATGCCATCCTCGCTGTCCAGAAGAAGATACACAATTGGGAGTTCATCTGCTCCGAGTTCTGTTTTCATTTGATATATTTCGTTTTTAGATTTACTAGCTATAAACAAAGTGTTGCCATGGTGGTGAATTCCTCTAGGGGATTTTACTCGCACCTTCCACACAATGGCTCCATCATAATCCACGCAATTGACACAGTCCTTTGTAAGATCTGCGATATAAAGCAGTTGTTTACCTTGATCATGTACCAATCGAATGGTATTTCCAGTAAATATTCCAAAGCGTCTGGTATATCCAGAGATTTCTTTAAGTACAACTCCGGACAAATTAGTGATTATTATTGCTCCATATTTTCCCTCTCCGACTTCAATTGCCAAGCTTTTTTCGTTACCTTCACTGTATGAAATACTAAATGGCTTTTCTTCTAATTTAAATTTTCCGGTATCCTCAAAACTTCCTTGCTGTACAAGGAACATCCTTACGACATGTTTGTCAGCAAATGTAATGGCTATCTCTTTACCAGAAATGGCTGCTATTCCTCTTGGTTCGTGAGTGAAATTCCTTCTAAACGCATACGTGTAACGATCTGAATTGAAAAGTTTAAGACTTTTATGTCGATTGTCAATGACAACCAGACGACCATCTGGTAGAATAACCATACCTAAAGTACAGGCTGCTCCCTTATCATCCCCTGGAACGGTGGTTGGTGTGTGTTTGTGATGTGTTGCCCGATATTCTCCTCGTACCTCAAATGGACAATAAGGAGAGTAATTAAAACTCAAACAATAGTGCATTGCAATCAAAACGCTTCTCAAAATATGAGACACTCCGACCATCACCTCTATGCAAAGTTCTAATATCATATCCTGACTTCAATCTATGTTTTTGATTTATCCTGTTGCTTTAGCTCCCTCATTGTTTTCAAGTTTAGGTTTCTCGATATTTTAGCATCGAGATATTTGTCAAAATGTGCATCCGCTGCATCGAACTTCGTAATGAGAAATGATGTAAATGCATCGAGACATTTTTAGGTCCTTTTTGGTCATATAGCTCTTCTGTTACGGTTCTCATACATCCTTGGTTTTCAAATATTCGGCTATTTGCGTTCCTGATGAAGGTAAATCCAGAAAAGCTTTTCCGACGCATGAACTTTGTTTTTTTATTTTTTACAGCACTGGGTCGATTACACTGCTGGTGGACTATCAGTCCCCGAGGGTAACATCAGCTCAGTAGTCCATACTTCGTGACTGAAATGATTTTTAACAAATCTTTCTTAAATTGTCCGTTTAAAATTTAGAAATTATTACGAAACTAAGGTTTCAAAACCCTCAGGTAGAGTTGACATTAGATGAATTTGTCTATTATTTATATGTCCTTTTTGATCATATAGCTCTTCAACTGTTTCGGTTCTTATACATCCTTGATTTTCAAATATTCAGCTTTGAGTGTTCATGACGAAGATAAATTCAGAAAAGCGCTTCGGACGCATGGAATTTATAAAATGTTGTTTTAATTATTTGCCGAAATATATGTCTGCTTCCACCAAAGTTCGTAATGCTGTAAAAGCAACAACCCTAAAACATTAAATCCATTGGACGTTTACTTATTAATACTATATTCTGGGAGAACATGATTTATGAATTACATGTATGTGTCGTTGGCTTTTGAATTAGCTTTCTGTAATTGCGAGTATTCTTAGATCGGTACTTTGTGTCTTTTGTTTTTATGTTAGTTCTTTTTGTGCTTCTTGTCATATGTTGAGTCAAACCATTTTTTTTACTGTTTCATTTAACACTTGTCATAGGAAAGGTTGGGGTTGAGCACTCAAAACCTGGTAAACGCCACCACATTCTTTAACTCAGGAGTCTGTAATTCAGTTCTTGTCGTTTGTTGCTGTATATCATATTTATTTTTCGTTTTTTGTTTTGTAAATAAATCAGATCGTTGTTTTTTCTTGTTTGAATTGTTTACAAATTGTCATTTTTGTGCCAGTTATATACATAGTTGACTATAAGGTACGGGGTTTTCATTGTTGAAGGCCATACGGTGATCTGTAGTTGCGTACAGTCACGTCATCTGGACTACCACATCACCTTATTTTTATATTCGTGTTATTATACGTACATTTCGACATTGTTCATTATAACTCTCCTGAATTGTTGTCCCACCAGAGGAAGCTTGGAGATGTTCTTTAGTTGCCCCGTTTGTATTATGTTTCTGAGTACAAATTTCACAATAGGACTGTTTGCAGACATCACAGTGTGATGTTATTTCTTTTTTCTTCTTACAGCTGTCGCAGACATCCGCCCTTTCAGTTTTTTCCTTGGGGGCCCTGAAGAATATCTATTGCTTTGAAACACTGTGCTAATTTTATACATTTACTGTCTTAGGATGAGGTAAATGTAAGGCTGTTTTATTGACTTTTGAAACTGATAAAGTCAATTAAACCACATTTTTACAGAAACAAAAGACAGTTTTATGCCTGCTCCGAGAGAAAACACATGTACAATGCAGTGATTTGTTCACTTTACATTAGTTTGTTGCTACATGCATGTCTATATACTATTAATATACAAATATGTGTATTGAGAGTTTTGAATACAATAATATTTTGATTGCATGGCACATTAAATGCATAGAAAACTACAATTAAAGCGAAAGTTGATATATGCATGTACTTTTAAATGAATTGTCTTCAATATTTAATAAAAAATCAATATACCATACTTACTGCATCATTATGCCTGAAGTGCTGTTTACTAAGTTTACATTCACAGTTTCAAACTCAATCAACTATAACATATCGTTATATTATTTACTTTATACAGTTTAAACTTTTTACAATTTACCTGCGTAGAATGATTTTGAAATAGAGCATAATCTTTTTCTGAATATGTATTTTTTTTTTTTAATTCCAATCAATTATTTCATTGGTAGAGTTTCTTGGTTTTTTCTATTACTAGTAAGATACTCTAAAATTTGACTATATGAATTGAAATGTATCGAAAGAAAAGTGATGGTCATTTTGCTTCAGCGCAAATGCATTTTCCGCACATTTCAAAAGCTAAAAGTTGTCAAATTCGACTGGAATTTGAATTTTACAGAGTCTATTAGTATATTATAAACTTCAAATGTTTTTCAGCAATTTTAAATATATTTATAAAAGTAACGTGTTATTCGGTGCTACTTGTTGCTTATAAAGGCATTTTGATACAAACACTGCAAAATGTTGTTTTTTTTTATTTTGCACCGAACGACGTCTCCTTAACAAAAATTGAAAATAATTTGCATCTGAAAGACAATCTACAGCTTTACTTCAAACCGCAATTTAGTTAAGGTTAGAATACTCCTCTGATACATTTTTGGTTAGAACATTTCCAAAATCTATTGAAATGTGTGCGATTTTTGCTTTCTTCATGCGTTTATAATTTGGTGCATGATCTGGTTAAAAACATGCAATAATATTGTAAGAAAATCAGTTAAGTTTGCATACCCTCCGCCCCCTCCAATATTTTGTTAAAAAAATCTTGAAAATGAGTAATTATCTCTTGAAGCAGTAGGCTGGTATACTGTATACATTCAGTCTACTCTTTTTCTTTATAAATACTGAAAATGGATATATTACCCCCACCCACCCCATTTACAATGTAGTAATTCAAGTATGTTTACATCCTTGGCCTCAAATTTTTTAGGTTCGAGTGTTCCTAGTGAAGGTATATTTAGAAAAGCACTTTGTTAGCACTAACTTGACAAGGCCCAAAGTTTTAATTTCATTTACTTTTTCTATGGCACATTATTTAGGTGAAGCTTAGGTAAATTATTAACTTATTCATGAACATGTATTACAAACAGAGAAGTAAGGTACATTGTTCATCGACACCCCTTTAAATTTCTGCCAAATTAATAAATTTGGATCTTTAAAATGCGTCAGTTCAAATAAATTTCATTTGGATTTTTTCTCCAGTAGTTAATATTAATATGTATTAGAAAGACTATTATGTTCGGATTCCACTCAACTGTGTCATCGCCCAGTTGAAAGGATTAGATCATTTATTCATCCGTTATGGTATATGATAAAGGTGCACCATTGAAATGGTTGAAATTATTTTCTTTGACGAGGCGCTAGGATAGATCTTATTCATGTATTGTTGTATATAGCAGGGTGCACAATTAAAAATAAGTGTATGATAAGGTTGGTATTTTTCACTTTACTAATCACGGAATTGTATAACTAAGATGAACAATTTCTTGTACTTATGCTGAAATAAGTTTCCAAACTATGTAGCCAGAGTACATCGTTGTCAAGTCAGCTAATCCAATTACAACGGTTAATTAGTTTTTTAATTGTCTCATCTTCACTTGTCGTGATTCCATTGTTTAATAGACATTTAATACTCCATTACGATACTTGTATAGTGGTCTTGTTCATTGTCGTCGCTGCAATTCGCTGTAAAAGAAGGACGAAAGATACCAGAGGGACAGTCAAACTCACAGATCGAAAACAAACTGACAACGCCATGGCCAAAAATAAAAAGACACACAGACAAATAATAGTACAGATGACACAACAAAGAAAACTAAAGACTAAGCAACACGAACCCCACCAAAAACTGGGGTGATCTCAGGTGCTCCGGAAGGGTAAGCAGATCCTGCTCCACATGTGGCACCCGTCGTGTTGCTTATGTTATTACAAATCCGGTAAATAGTCTAATTAGGTAGGTCACATTCGTGAAAAGGGAAGGGTATTGTAGTTACGACATAAGGAACATATCCGATATCATCTGTGAAACGGTTATTCCATAACGGTTAACCAACTCGTGATGGCGTCCGTAAAATTTACGAAGGGATGATTTCAATTTCACCATCTGGAACTCTTGGTTTAATAGCTTCCTTGTGAGCAGCAATCCTCTATCAAGGAAATCATGATAGGAAATACAAGCCCGGGAATATCGTATCAATTGGGAGATATATACACTACTCCGTATGCAGGCGCTGCTGAAATGTTGCTACATAGAAATGGAAAGTTCACAATTGGGAAGCTGAAATCATCTCTTTTGTCGTAAAGTTTTGTTTTCAACCGACCCTCATTGTCAATTTCTAGATGTAAGTCAAGATATGAGGCAGACTTAACTGTATCTGTAGTATCCTTTATCTCTAGTTCGATGGGATAGATTCGTTCAACATAGTCACCAAATTTTGTATTATTTAGTGAGAGAACATCATCTATATAGCGGAACGTAAAGTTAAAGGATATTGCTAACTTCTTATCTTTCTTCCTAAGAAGTTCCTGTATGAAGTCAGCCTCATAATAATAAAGAAACAAGTCGGCAAGAAGAGTAATGACGAAGTAAATCTGTACACATATATGCTATATGCCTCGTCGACGATCGTAAAAGGATATGCCAAATATATAGTTGTAAAGAAACACAAAAGAACATTTGTTATCTTTATCCCAAAAAAACCTTTAATAATGGAATAACAAGTAGATAAATATATATATTGGTTAATATGTTTCTGACAAAATATCGAATTACGATTTTACTTACCTGTTTGCAATTCACTTTATTGTATATTTAAGTTCATCTACGCTTAGGGTTTTAAACCATCGAATTTTTAACGAAGTAATTAAGGTAAGAACATTGGTGTTGAAATATTAATAACTTATTTTCAGATAAGTTCAATTTTTGTTTATTCTTATTGCAATTTAATAACAGAAACAAAATCACAGAATAACCCATTGTGCTCTTGATTTTTTATTGAAATTAACTTTTTTATGTTCATTTGGCCCCTTCTGATGGTGTGTATATATCACAATTTAACTTTGCCCGTGTCTGAAATGACGTTTTAAATTTCAATGAACGTAATTTATGGTAAACTATTAAGTCAGGGATTTCAATACCACAAATTTATTAAAACTATTATTAATTCTTTCATAGATACAAAGATTTGGTTTAGAAATTTGGCTGTACCTGTAGAATTCTTATTAAAACGGGATTCGCATTCTAATGTTTTACTGTGATGTTTTGTTACGAGCCCGTAAATTTAGATATGATCCATGTAAACTCATTGATCCTTTGAATAAACTTATTTTTAAAGGTTAATAATACAATATCGTAGTGACATCTTAGAATATTGCTTTCATCGGTACTAACATTGGTTTTGTTTTGAAAAAATAAACCATCACTAAATAATGAGTACTGTTCCATATCACTTATATTTTGGCATTGCATAAGGTCATGTGTTTTTCAGACTGTTTATGACGTCTTTAAACTAAATACTGATGGATGCTTTAGACTGGGAGAACATGATTTGTTTATAATAAAAAAAAAAGATGTGGTATGATTGCCCATTTAATAGACAACCAAAGACCAACTGACGTAGACGTTAACAACTATGGGTCATCATACGGCCTTCAATAATGAGCAAATCCCATACCGCACAGTAAGCTATAAAAGGCCCCGAAATGACAAATGTAAACAATTCAAACGAGAAAACTTACGACCTTATTTATGTACAAAACAAGAAACAAAACACAAATATGATATACAGCAACAAACATCAACCACTAAATTACAGGCTTCTGACTTGGGACAGGCACATACAGAATGTAGGGCCGGGTTAAACATGCTTGCTGGCGCCAAACCCTCCCCCTAACCTTGGACAGTAGTGTAACAGTACTACATGAGAAGAAACTATATAAAAATCAGTTGAAAAGAGCTTAACTCATCAGATCGATACAAAACACAACAAACAAAAAAACTAACAAAAACGCAAAATACACAAAGTACAGATCTGAGAGTTCTTGTATTTGTCATTGGCTTGAATTATCTTTCGGTAACTGAGAGTTCTCTTATATCGGTGCTTTGAGCAGCTTATTGTTTTTATGACAGTTGTTTTAGTGTGTTTCGTATCGACGTGTTGAGTTAATTCATTTACAAGATGATTTTCATAGTTTGTTCTTATGTTGTGCTGTTACACCCCTGACCCAGGTTAGGGGAGGGTTGAGCTCTCATTAACATATTAAATCCGCCACATTATGCATGTGTCTGTCCTATGTCAGGAGCCTGTAACTCAGTACTTGTCGTTGGTTCACATCTGTCATATTTGTTTTTGTTTCGCATTTTCCAAGTCGGGGCCTTTTATAGCTGACTATACGGTATGTTTTTTTTCTCATTGTTGAAGGCCGTACAGTAACCAACAATTGCTTACATGCACGCCATTTGAACTCTGCTGGAAAGTTGTATCATTGGCAATCATATACAATGTCTCCTTATATCTATATTTCCAATCTGTTTACTATTGTTTCAGATATAACTATGGACGCTGGAACATGCGACGGGTGTAATAAGCCCCTCACCCAGACAACATATTGTGTTGAGTGTACCCAGTGTTTCTGTGCAGGATGTACAAAGGTCCACACAAGACAAAATGCTACGAAGTCGCACATTCTATTACGTATATCACCGGACGGTTCTGATGCGTCAAGCACAAAAATTGGACGAAACTGTGAAATTTGTGAAGAAAAAATGGAAGTAGTTAGTTTATGTGCCTCTTGTAGAGAGATGTATTGTACTGAATGTTCGGGGAGACATCATTTAGTGAAAGCGACTAAGGACCACCAGTTGTGCCCTCTAAAGTTATGGGACTCAAGTCTGGTTACCCGGACTGTGAGTAGTGTAGTACAGGACAGTACGAAAAAGAAAGCACAGGTAAATGTTAAAAAGACATCTTAAATGTATATCTTCTTTCCCCCTTTTGATCTCGATCCGTAGGGATTGATTGCTTGATTGTTGGTTGCTTAACGTCCAGTGGCAAATATTTCATGCATATTCAGGACGAGAACAGATTAACAATAAATACAATACGTAGGTTCTGTATTAAGGTCGGAGAAATTTAGACTGCCACGGGAAATGAGGGTATATTGGATAGAGACAGAAATTTAGCCTTGCAACAGGTCACCTACGGACCCCTCAAAGAGTTGTTGCAAGGGTTCTTAACGCGCAAAGAGCGTGACACTCTCTTTACACGAGGCATCGGATTTAACGTCCCCATCCTGACCGGACGTGGCTGCAAATTTGTACATCCTGCACAGCCAAACGGACGCCCCACTTTAGCAAGGGTTTTACTGCCGGTCGGAGGAAGACCAATGGTGACCATACTTCTATTCCCCAGTCACCCTTGGGGCCTATCCGTAGGGAAGAAAGCTCGCAGTTAATGAAGTCAAGCTCAGTGTTATTTACCTGCTGATAAGAAATCTTCTTATACTATGATATCGATTGCTATATTTCTTAGTAATTTTCATACAGCAACGTCCTAAGTGCCGATTATCATGTTTTCTCTTTTAAAATTGATACGCTAAAACTAAAATATTAGCTGAGAGTCACAATCTGAGGCTAAAACGCTAAAACTAAAATATTAGCTGAGAGTCACAATCTGAGGCTAAATCGATTTATCGGATAAATTTGTGTGTTTTTCGTGATAGGCAGGATGTTTCGTTCGTGCGCAAAGCACAGAACAAACTATTCATAAAATACAAGAACCAATTTAGTATTGCTTCGAACTATGAATAAGCAAATTAATTTTGTATATTAAATTACCCGTAAATCAATATTTAATCAATTTTAACATTGTTGGCTATTTTTTACCTTGAAAAAACTATAATGGATATCGAATCATTTACTTAGAAAGTTACATTATATAGAAGGAACAAACACAACTTCACCTTCAAGAAAGGAAAAGTTATTTCGTTAATCATTTTAAGTCTGAAGATTACCATCAAGGCCTTAAAAGGACAGCTTTCACTATTAAATGATCATATTTTTTTTACCAATATGATACCGTTACCCTATATCTCGAAAAATATAATAGACACTGCAATCTGTAACAACAAAAATGACCAGCAACACAAGATCTACAAATAGACCAAAATGATTATTATCGCTATTTTCTCAAATTTTGCTTTGATCTTTTTATGTGATTATTTTTCATATCGTCAATCGACTCCTTGCAAGAGTTCTTACCCGAAAATAACAATTTAATCCATTTTAACATTGTTGGCTATTTATCACCTCGAAAAAAAACTATAATGGATAGAATAAAACTCTGTCCAGCAAAAATTAGTATAAAGACAAGATCTACAAATAAGGCCGATATCAGTCAGTCGACTGTTTATGTGGTTTTAACAGTGTACCAATTTTTATGCAAACTTGCCAAGTGATCCAGGTTTCGTTGCAGAGAAACTTTGTCTTCAAAAAATATGGTTGATAAGCTGTGATGAATTATTGCTTCACTTTACAACATGTTTATTTAAAATAACCATAATTACAAATTGATAATCAATTTAAATTGATTGTACTGCTCAATATTGGGCGTCGTATTCTGACAATACAAACTTTGCATTGTATGCTGATTACGTTTTGATTCAGGTCAATGTTATACTGAAGCAAGAAAAAGACTTATACAAAGGAAGGTTAATTTCCGAAAGACCCAGTACTGCACCAGGAGAAACCGCTATGACACGAATTAGAGGAATGACTATTTTACAAGATGGTCGTCTGCTTGTCATAGACAGCAAGAACAAATGTCTCAAAGTCTTCAAACCGGAATGGTACGAACTTTTAACGAAGAAAGAATTAACAGACGAACCACGAGGCATTGCTGCCGTTTCACACGACGAAGTAGTTATTACATTTGCAGATAAAAAAGAGGTCCGCATTTACAAGATTGATAAAGTCAATAATTTGTGGAAAGAGAGAAGTTTTGGAATAAAGGATAAACCATTTAGCATTTCATATAGCCGGAGATCGTTTGCTATTGAGTTGGGTGAAGGCGACGATGGTGAAATTGCTGTTACAGATTTTAATGGTAACATAACACATTTAGTGAGAGGTCAAAATAGTAGTTTCGGTCAATTTACGGGCAACACAATTCGGCTAGTTCATGACAATGACAAAAAACTTGTGTTCATTGCGAATGTTTCCGACGGATACATTCACTGTGTTGATTATAAAGGAGAAGTCAAGTGGGTAAACAAAATTAATACACCAAGGGGCGTGGCTCTTCATGAACATACATTATTTGTGGCAAGTAAGGCAGATAATAAGATTTACCAGTTAAGCTCAACCAATGGAAACATGTATAGCCTTTTGTCAGACACAGACAGGATAAGCCAACCAAGATATATTGCTTTTCATGCGTCACAGGGGAAACTCGCGATAGAGGTCGGAAGTAGTGTAAACATATACACTATTTTAAAAAAATTAAAAAAAAAAGAAGTGATTACTGAATTCAGATTTGTTTAATGTTAAGTGTATATCTGGTAAAGTTATATCATAGAACTTACAACCAGATTACATGGACTCAAACAGCTAACGGACATAGAAACTACCACTTATTAAACACAACTATTCTACAAGACAATATTATTGTTGCTCCTATAAATTAGAATTTGTTTATATTTATGGTTGTCCAGAACATTCATGAAATATTTGCCACTGGACGTTAAGCAAAAAACAACCAAGCAATATATTCATGGATTTGGATTCTGGATGCAATATAATACTTTTAGTTAAGCTGATATTACATATGCGTGAAAAATGAATGAAGCATGCCATGTAGATAACTATTTATCAATGCGTAGACAGTTGGAGTAAAATCAGGTCCATAGATATATACATGAACATTAGCCTAGAAATTAATTAAATTTTTAAATGACATTATTCATTGAATATCTAAAATATATAAACATGTATCTCATATCATCACCTTGTTACTACAACTAATATTTACAAACATACTGTGAATGGTGTCTTTTTAAGAATTAAATTGTTACTTATGTGCTGTATATTTCACATGGAACAAAATTTATAAAAGCAAAGTCACAACACACCAGAAAATGTACATTACAAGGTATTGGAAAGTGTAGTGTTATTTACTTTGAAGGATTTTTTGTTGGTCATATCTTCACTAAATTTCATCATTTGGTGTTCAATTTAAAGTTCACATTACAAATGAATTAATATATCAGAAACTGTTAGTCTTTTGAAAACTCATTCAGCATAGGAACTTGTTTAAATAGTAGAGGCCATTAAGTGCCTTTATTTCTCAAGGAAATTGTTATCTCTCCAAATTATGTGTTATGCTTGGATCACAATAATTATGTTTCTCCTTTCAAATAACACACAAAGTACTGCTTAATTTTGCGGATATGCCACAAATTTATTGTACTATATATAACTTGCCAGAAAAATACACGTTTGTAAAAAGTTCATTTCAGCAGTAAGTCATAAATTTGGAATTGGTTGAAGCCTTATCAGCGGTACTGGATGTGGGTTTTAGGCACAATGAAAAGACATTTTGGTGAATTGGTCAATGGTAGTGAAAAATTATCCAACAAATCTCTGAAAGAGATTAGATAAAGGATCAGCTCGCCGGAAAATTGGTCCTAATTGTTGAGAATTTCTTTTAATTTCAAGGAAAACTTTATGTACTAATAAAACAAGACATTACATGCTGCAAATGTTGAAAGTCTTAAAGATAAAGGTTTTACTACAAGTATCACATAAATCTAACATTTTTAAATATCCATGACAATGAGGTAAAGGTCAGATAAATCCTGTCAGACAGACATTTACACCTTACTATGATTCACCAAATCTAGTTGACCTATTGCTAATGGTAATTGAAAAACAGACCAAAAACATATAAATTTAACATTGACCAATGAATCATGAACCAAGAAAATGACAAGGTCAGATGATACCGACTAGACAGTGCACACATGTACACCTTACAATCATTATATACACCAAATATAATTGACATATTGCTTATAGTACTTGAAAAACACACTCAAAACAGAAAAAAATTAACATTGATCAATAAACCATGAAATTAAGGTCAAGTTCAGATGAAACCTGCTTGTCTGACATGTACCCCTTACAATCATTCCATACACCATATATAGTTGACCTACTGCTTATAGTATTTAAGAAACGAAACTAATCATGTAAAGGAGTAGGTTCGATAAGGCTCTAAAATGGCCCCTTTTTTTAGCTGAAATTTCAAATTAGTATCTATTGACCAATATCACAATGAATCGTAGCTAATACAATGACTAGATAGGAAATAAGCCTTTTTGTTAAAAATTTTCGTACCTGCGTTTTATTCATGACGTCACAAATAGTGCTCATTTTGATTTTTCACGAAAAAATCAATGAAAAATGGGTAAATTTCCATTGATTATTGAACAGGAAACATAGAGCGCATATGTCGACAAAAAAGATATTTTAAAATAATGTTTGTAATGACATTTTACATGTTTTAACTTGAATATTTAGTTTGTCGACGTCTGCGCTCTATGTTTCCTAATCCAAAATTTGGTTAAAATCCGGCTAATTTGGTCAAATTTCGCTAAAATCTCTTATCTTGACCTATTATGTAAAAATTAACGCTTTTGAATAAAACTTTGACACAAATAGTTCTATTTAACTGTTTCTCACATGTCATTAAGTCAACTTAAAACATTTTTTTATCTTGTAACATTAAACTTTACAATCGGGGCCAAATATGGCCCTTACCGAACATACTCCTTTAACCTTAATCACTGATCCATGAAATGAGGTCGAGGTCAGATGAACCCTGTCTGAATGACATGTTGACGTTGCAAGGAACCCATATACCAAATATAGTTATCCAACCAGTCATAATAAGTGAGAAATTCACATGACAAAAAAACTTCTTTTTTTTGAGCAGTCATTGAACCATGAAAATGAGGTCAAGGAAAATGGACATTTCGTAACAATAGGTATCTACATACAAGGTATGAAGCATCCAGGTGTTCTACCTTCTGAAATATAAAGCTTTATACAAATAGTTTGCGCCAGATAGTAATCCTTATGTCTCGCATACTGAGACTCTCGTCGCAGGCGAGACAATAAACATTTTTGGATAATACTTAATATTTGGATTGTATGATTTCATCACCATCATATCAAAGCACCCACAATGAAAATAAATGGGGAATGTGTCCATGGGACACAGATGATGCCCCTGCTTGCATATCATATAAAGTTAAAAAGGGACATAACTGAAGAACGGTAAAAGTGACGCTACCCAAATTTGTTACTGATCTGAGTTTTGTAGTAGTAAGTATTGTGTATAAGTTTTATAACATTTGGTTGAGGCAAACCAGGGGCGTAGCTAGGCTAATATGATGTGTACTCAATGCCGGAGTAGAAAGACAAACGGCAGGGGGTTTGGGGGCCGCTTAAGGCCCCCAGAAGCTCTGGGTAAATGGTGCAAAATCCTGCATTCTCGCAATTTCCTGGGACTTAAATGACCAGAGACATATATACACACTATATATGTCTCTGAAATGACCTCACCGAAATCTTATTTTCATGAGTAACAAGTCAACTTTTGAAAATAAATTTGAAAAAAAAAAATTAATTAGAGAAAAACAAACAAGTACTGTTAGCTTAGGAATTTGGATTTTCATAGAATTGATTTTTGACACCTCGAGGACCATTTTAATTGTTTGCATCAGCAACATAATCATGATGCTGGTTCCGTAAATGAAAAATAATTTCAGGAACGGAATATAGCTACAAAGTGATTATTAACATGTTTGTATAATAGTTTTTAATTCAATTTATTACTTTAGTTTTATTCTTACTAGATGTATCAATATTTTTATTTTGTAAAATTTTCGATGTGTACCGCGGCAACTGCGTTTTTGCGTATGGGTTGCTACGCGCCTGCAAACTTAAGTAAGAGAATGGAAACAAAAAATTCAACATTTTTTGTTTTGTAATTAATTAGGCTGTTAGTTTTTCTAAAGGGGCATAACTCTAGAACGGTTAAAGTGACACCACCAAAATCCAATCTTGATCTGTATTTTGTGGTAATAAGCATTATATATAAGTTTCATAATATTTGGTTGAGGCTAACATAAGTTAGAGAACTGAAACGAAAAATTCAGCTATTTTTCCATTTGTAAAGGGACATAACTCAATAACGGTTAAAGTGACACGACCAAAATTCACACTTGATCTGTATTTTGTGGAAATAAGCATTGTGTATAAGTTTCATAACATTTGGTTGAGGCAAACTAAAGTTAGAGAACGGAAACCAACTTTGGGACGTACGGACGGCGGGGGCATAAAAAATATCAAAGTGCTTGTGAGCACTAAAGGGTAACGATAGCTTTCATTTTGCAATGTGAAGTTAGAATTAAACATTGAAGTGCTATGGAACACATTTTGGTAATATTTTACAATTTACCAAGTAATTTTAGTACCGATCTCTTTGGCGCTGTCGTGCTGAATGACCAAAACCCCTGTTTCGGCAGGTTACTGACAGTACGATAGGCACAACACTTATACATCATAAAAAAGACAAGAGAAAATAATTTCACTCTAATTCACTACGTTCAACCGTATAAAATTACGTTTGTTCTTGGACCTTTTTTTTAAGAATGGAGTGGAGTCATACACCATGAACAACATATGTAACTTTTAATAAAATTGTTTTTTTTTTTACATGTTTGAATATCTGAGCATATATAATTTATCAATTGCTTGGCATGAGAATAGATGTGATTTTCAGAATGACCACCTCACTGTTGTTTACACTTTCAAAGGTAGATGGAGCATGGAGGATATAGCTATCAAGTTGGTAACATAAAGAATTTGATTGCATTTCATGCCATCTTTACCCCAATAAGGAGAGCTTGTATGGTTTAGACAACTATCCACCATAGATCAAAGGACAAGGATGTAAATGGAGATATAATAATATAACACAAAGATGGTATTTAAAAATTCCCTTTCCACCAAGATGGTATATGAATTTTTAGGGAAAACACTTTATATTATTTTACCCACATCCTAAGGTACTGTTCTACAACTGTCTTAAGTTTCATCAATGTCTGTCTGGCTGTTTATGTGGAGTTGCACTTAATAAGTACATGGATAGACAGACAGGGTTGTTCCTCTATGCGCACACAACTTTCTTTGCTGGGGTAATAATTAAGTAAGGGAAACTCAAGATTTCTTCCAGAGACATTTGTTCATAACATAAACTGTTAACACAAAGATATGTCTCGCCTATTTGTTATTTTGATAATGCAAATGTTGAAATTAAAATAGCAATACTTTAACATGTAAGTTATGCAAATATTCAAAGTCAATGAACCATGACTGAAGGTACAGGGCTAAACAATCTCCATGGAAATGAGATGTGCCAATGCTAATACAACTGCATACCAAATACCATTGACTTTTCATAAGTCGTTCCCTTTAAAAAAAAACCTAAACACAAACATTAAATTGTAAACTATGTAAAAGTTTCAAAGTCAATGAACCATAATGAGGGGGTGGGGTCAGATAATCTCCATGGAAATGAGATATGCCAATGCTTATACAACTGCATACCAAATATCATTGACCTACTACTAGTGGTTCCCCATAAACTGACCTAATCACAAACTAATACATGTAAACTAAGCAAAGTTTCAAAGTCAATAGACCATGACTGAGGGGGCAGGGTCAAATAATCTCCATGGTAATGAGATGTGCCAATGCTAATACAACTGCATACAAAATATCATTGACCTACCACTAGTGGTTCACCATAAACTAGACCTAATCACAAACTAATACATTGTTGATGCCACCGCCGCTGGAAACAGCATACCTATGTCTCGCTTTTTGACTCCGTCAAGGCGACACAAAAATTAGACAACTGACAAAGCAACAGCTTTAAGCACCTGAAAATTTTTCTAGCACCATAAAAATGTGAAGCACTCAAGAAAAGTAGTAGTTAAGAATATTGGTCACATAAGATATCAGGAGAATCAACTTTTATACCAGTCCATCAACATTTCTTTTCGTAAATTTTCCAACAATTTCAACATTGCAAACACAATCAATTATTCTTTGAAAATATGGTAATTTAATTTATCAATCAACACCAAAGAAAAGTCTGTTTGTATTGTTAAACATGATCTCTGCTAAACTGTCTTTATCTTCATTACGGGCACCTGCCATTACTTCAAGAACTTGTCTGAAAAAAAATGTATATTGATAAAGTTACTTTGTCACTATTAAAATGTGTAATAGAATAATAGTATGCCCCTGAATTAGTAAACAATTAGTCGTTTTATTAAATATTATGAGTCAAAATAGATGTTTGTATACATCAGACAGCAACCCTAAAAAAGAAATACAACAGTGTACATGCTGAAATGTCTCGCCTGTTTTACTGACCATTGATTTTATGTTGCAAGTCGGAGATAAAGGTTTTACTACAAGTATCACATAAACTTAACATTTTTAAAGATCAATGACAATGAGGTCAAGGTCAGATAAAAACTAGCACAGACATGTTCATCTTACAATTATTCCATACACCATATATAGCTGACCCATTGCTTATGGTTATTGAAAAACAGTCCAAAACACAAAAACTTAACGTTAACCAATGAACCATTAACATGAGGTCAAGGTCAGATGATACTGGCTAGACAGACATGTACACCTTACAATCATTCTATACGCAAATTATAGTTGACCTATTGCTATGGTTATTGAAAATAGACCAAAACACAAAAACTTAGTATTGACCAATGAACCATGAAAATGAGATTAAGGTCAGATGACACCGGCTAGACAGACATGTACACTTACAATCATTCCATAAACAAAATATAGTTGACCTACTGCTTATCGTACTTGAAAAATAAGACCAAAACACAAAATCTTAACATTGACCAATGAACCATGAAAATGAGGTCAAGGTCAGATGACACCAGCTAGACAGAAGACATGTACAACTTACAATCATTCCATACACCAAATATAGTTGACCTATTGCTTACAGTACTTGAAAAACAGACCAAAACACAAAAAATTAACAATGACCAATGAACCATGAAAATGAGGTCAAGGTCAGATGAAACCTGCCAGTCTGACATGTACCCCTTACAATCATTCCATACAACGTATAGGGGTCAAAACTCTAATTTGGCATTAAAATTAGAAAGATCATATCATAGGGAACATGTGTACTATGTCTGGAAACTAGAAAAATGCTTGTTTTTTGCCCCTTTTTGGCCCCTAATTATTACAATTTTGAGGCAATTACCCCCAAAATCAATCCCAGCCTTCCCTTAGTGGTATGGTACCTTGCAGTGCAATTTCAGAGAGATCCATACACTTGAACACAAGTTATTGTCTGGAATCAGAAAAATGCTTATTTTTGGCCCCTTTTTGCTAAATGTTTTGGGCAATTACCCCCAAACTCAATTCCAGCTTTCCCTTTGTGATATGGAACCTTGTAGTACAATTTCAGAAAGATCCATACACTTACACACAAGTTATTGTCATGAAACTAGAAAAAATGCTTGCTTTTTGCCCCTTTTTTGGCCCCTAATTCCTAAAATTTTGAGGCAATTACCCCAAAAATCAATCCCAGCATTCCCTTTGTGATATGGAACCTTGTGGTACAATGTCAGAGAGATCCATACACTTACACACAAGTTATGTCTGGAAGTTACAAAAATGGTTATTTTTTGCCTCCTTTTGGCCCCTAATTCCTTAACTGTTGGTACCATAACCCCCAAAATCAATCCCAACCTTCCTTTTGTGGTATTGAACCTTATGGTAAAATTTCATAGAGATCCACTAACTTAAACTAAAGTTAGAGTGCGAAAACCAATGTGTCTTCGGACGACGACAATGACGCCAACGTCATACCAATATACGACCGCAAAATGTTTTTGCGGTCGTATAAAAATGAAGCAGGCACTATCATTTTCTATGTTCAGTGGACTGTGAAAATGGGGTCAAAACTCTAATTTGGCATTAAAATTAGAAAGATCATATCATAGGGAACATGTGTACTAAGTTTCAGGTTGATTGGACTTCAACTTCATCAAAAACTACCTTGACCAAAAATTTAAAATGAAGCAGGCACTATCATTTTCTATTTTCCGTGGACTGTGAAATGGGGTCAAAACTCTAATTTGGCATTAAAATTAGAAAGATCATATCATAGGGAACATGTGTACTAAGTTTCAAGTTGTTTGGACTTCAACTTCATCAAAAACTACCTTGACCAAAAATTTAAAATGAAGCAGGCACTATCATTTTCTATTTTCAGTGGACTGTGAAAATGGGGTCAAAACTCTAATTTGGCATTAAAATTAGAAAGATCATATCATAGGGAACATGTGTACTAAGTTTCAAGTTGTTTGGACTTCAACTTCATCAAAAACTACCTTGACCAAAAACTTTAACCTGAAGCGGGACAGACGGACTGATGAACAAATGGACGGATAAACGAACGGACGAAGGAAGGGACGCACAGACCGAAAAACATAATGACCTTAGGTGGGGCATAAAAATAGTTATCCTATTACTAAAAATAAGTGAGAAATTCACATGACAAAAAAACTTATTTTTTTTCAAGCAGTTGGAAACTTCGTAACATAAGGTATCTGCATACAAGGTATGAAGCATCCAGGACTTCTACCTTCTGAAATATAAAGCTTTATACAAATAGTTCATGCCGCTGCCGCTGGATAGCAATACCTATGTCTCGCATACTGCGAAAGTCACAGGTGAGACAAAAACCAGAAAAGACATTGGGCAACAATAAATAAGTGTCCTCATGTCAAATAATCATCCTAAGTCTAGGATCAATATAACAGAGACTATTAGATCGATACAAACAAAAACATCAAACAAAAACAAAGACAGGACATGGCAGCATATATATCTATCCCTCATCCCTAACAACGAAAAAAAGACACTAAGTACAGATCCAAGAGTACTCGCAGTTACTGACAACTAGTTCAAAGCCAATAACAACTAATAAAATAAATGGAGAATGTGTGCCCATGGACACAATGATGCCCCCGCTTGCATACAACATTATAAAGGGACATAACTCAAGAACGATAAAAGTGACGCTACCCAAATTTGTACTTGATCTGAGTTTTAAGGTAATAAGTATCGTGTATAGGTTTCATAATGTTTGGTTGGGGCAAACTTAAGTTACAGAACGGAAACTAAAAATTTTTCAATTTTTAGATTTATAAAGGGGCATAACTCGATAATTTTTAAAGTGACGCTACCAAAATTCAACTTGATCTGTGTTTTGTGGTAAAAAGCATTGTGTATAAGTTTCATAACATTTGGTTGAGGCAACTTAAGTTAGAGAACGGAAACTAAAAATTTTGCATTTTTTTCCATTTATAAAGGGGCATAACTCGAGAATGGTTAAAGTGACCCCACCAAAATTCAAACTTGATCTTTATTTTGTGGTAATGAGCATTGTGTATATGTTTCATAAAATTTGGTTGAGGCAAACTTAAGTTAGAGAACGGAAACTAAAAATTTTGCAATTTTTCCATTTATGAAAGGGCATAACTCTAGAACGGTTAGAGTGACGCTACCAAAATGCAATCTTGATCTGTATTTTGTGGTAATAAGCATTGTGTATAAGTTTCATAACATTTGGTTGAGGCAAACTTAAGTTAGAGAACGGAAAATAAAAGTTTGCAAATTTCCATTTATAAAGGGCATAACTCTAGAACAGTTCAAGTGTCGCCACCAAAATTCAAACTTGATCTGTATTTGGTGGTAATAAGCATTGTGTATAAGTTTCATAACATTTGGTTGAGGCAAACTTAAGTTAGAGAACAGAAACTAAAAATTTTGTAATTTTTCCATTTATAAAGGGGCATAACTCTAGAACGGTTAAAGTGACGCAACTAAAATTCAAACTTGATCTGTGTTTTGTGGTAATTAGCATTTTGTACAAGTTTCATAACATTTGGTTGAGGCAAACTCAAGTTAGAGAACGGAAACCAATTTTGGGACGTACGGACATAAATACAGACGGACAAGGGTAAAACTTAATGCCCCCTCAGCTACGGCGGGGGCATAAAAAATCATGTATCTAAGACTAAAATATCAATCAGTACACATCCAACATCCAACGGATTTAGTGTAAAGACATCATGAACAGTCAGAGAAAAACATGACCTTGAGCAATGCCAAAATATATGAATCAACAGATTTTAGTACAGTGAAAGTACATATGTGTAATATTTAGTATGGTTTTAATTTACTGATAACAAAATCAATATTCATACCAATAAAAACAATATTCAAAGATTAAATTACAGCGTTGAATAGGTAACCTTTTAGAATAAGTTTATTTAAAGGATTGATAAGTTTACCCGGATCGCATCTAAATTTCCGGGCTCAGCTAACAACATCACCGTAAAATTTATGATGTGCTATTCTGTGTGAAATAAGTTTTCTACAGGTACAGCCAAACTTGCAAACCAAATCTTTGTATCTATGGAAGAATAAGTAAAGGTTTTAGGTAATTTGTGGTAACGAAATCCCTGACTTAATAATTTACTAGTAGTACATAGATACTGTGGATTCATTAATATTCGTTGGATACCAATTTTCGTGGATTTCGTGGGTACAGGTGAACCACGAAATTAAATGTTCAACGAATGACAAATTAACTATAGGCTTGTATGCAGACTTCAGCAAAACCACGAAATCAAATATCCACGAACATGCAAGTTTTCCCTAATCCACGAAAATTGGTACCCACGAAAATAAATGAATCCACAGTACTCCTTTTAGGGTAATAAGAAATGCTGTTTTACATGCAGGGCGCAGCTTGATACGACCGCAGAGGTCAAACCCTGAACAGTTGGGGCAAGTACTGACACAACATTCAAGCTTGATACAGCTTTGCATTTGGATTGTGATTAAATATTTGACACAGCATAGGTTTCTGACACAGAATGAATGTGGTCTAAGAACTTAAAAATTTTAAATTGGACCCTTTTGACCTCAATGTGGACAAAGTTGATAACGGGGCCCAAAAATCAAAAATCTAAATACATGGTTAGATTCAGCATATCAAAGAACCCCATATATTCAATTTTTGTTGAAATCAAACAAAGTTTAATTTTGGACCCCGATTTGGACCAACTTGAAAACTGGGCCCATAATCAAAAATCTAAATACATG